ACTTATATATCTTTTCTGTCACAAGAAAAACGACACGTTTCTATATAAATTATTATATTATGAAGAACAATTAATTTAGCATTTGTGCTGTCACATATTTTGCAACATGCTACTAAGTTAATATCTGTATTACTAAACTAAAATTAGTGCCGATCATGGGTTTGCTTAACTGCAGAGGAAGATTTTATCATGTGACTAACTTATCTGATTCATCAGATCAACTTGTCATAACATATAACACTCTTGTTAAAGACTCTAGATACAGAACAACAGTTTTGGCAAATATGCTTATCAATTGAATATATTAGTTTCATATACAGTGTGTGACAAAAAAACTTAAAACTATTTGTGGAAAAATTTAACTAATAATTAAACTTTGTCAGTTTTGGCTCAATTAGAAAAGGTGCAAACCAGTCTTGAAATTGGTCGTAAACTCCATATACTTTTTGGGATTCCTATCAAAAGCCATTACATAAAACTGATACCCATCTGATAGAAATATTGCAAAAAGTTTGCATAATGGCTGTTGTTGAACAAGGACATGAATATAATCCACAAGTTGGCCCTTCTCTTCATCAGAAAAACCAGACAAACTCTTTCTTTTTTTCAACTCTAGAAGCATTTGTACAAATATGGCATATACACATCATGTATGACATCCTCTTCAATGAAGATGGTGAGATCCAGCTTAAGTCTGCAAAAGGTATGGATTGGTGTGTGTATCCTTTACAACAAGGTTTTTTGACCAGTTTGGGAGCTTTTTCATCAGATTAACAAACCAATCTAGAACATCATCCTCTGTGGTGGTTGGTGCAGGATTATTTTGCAGGTAGATATTAACCATTCCTTTTCTAGAGAATTCACCAAGGTAAGGGGTGGTCTTACTGAGGAAGTATTCTTGATCAACTTTTTCAAACACAATGCCCTGGTAAGCTTTTGCACATGTTATGGAACCTGAAGTGTGAAAATATGTGTTTAATAGAAGTGGAAGTGCCAAAGCTTTGCATCTGAAAACCAATACCTGTCTCATGTGGATACTGGCCAGGAATAAACCTGTTGTTCCTATCTTCTCAAGTCGAATTAGTGTTTCTAAGCTTTTTTTTTTTTCATATTTTCTGAGTTGTCCTTTGTAATTTTCGAGTTGTCTTTTATGACTTTCAGAAAATCTGAAAGGAAAAGAGGCAAAGAAGCTGATGTACCCACACTAAGGCTATCTGACATGTTCTAGAGCAACTTTTGTGAATGTAGCATATCAAATTGAAATTACAATACTTTATATTAATAAACATACCATTTGCCCAAAGAGATTTGTGAGAGTTCCCATGGAAGTGGGTTGATGGGAAGCTGGAAACCAAAATGTCAGAGAATAAAAAATGTTATTAACAGATTTTATTATAACTCACTGGTTGCAACGGGTAGCTCTACAATAATGTAAATGTGTTTTTTGGGTGAGTTTGATGATAAGAAGCAGGAAAGAAAAGCACAAGATTATGTAAGTATTCAGTATTATTATTATTGGCAAATATGACACAGTGTGAGCAAGAATGAAATTTGCTTACCTCCTTTAATTTCTTTGATCAACTTATCAATTTCTTTAGCTGGTCCACCTGGTATTCCCCATCTCTCAAAATCCATTGCAGTAAAATCAAAGAAGTTGCTACCCTTAACCCTCTGATTATATAATATTTCGATATCTCTGTATTCAAGGTCTAATCTAGCTTTGTTCTTTTGCAAAAACGTTTTAACTTCATCTCGACTCCATGCCTTCACATGTTCAACTGTTGGAAGATTAGACATGACACTGGTTGAGGAACTTGTAACATCAGATGACATAGCTTTTACAATTAAAAAAGTATTCATGAATGGAAAAAAAATAATTTTTTTTCGAGGTATATGACTGTCACACAGATTGATCTGTCCCAGATAATATCAATGATTTTTGCTGATTTCTTACACTGTAAAAAAGATAGTAAAAGCAGTAAGAACTTTAGGAAATCCACAGTATTATCTTTTGTGCATGTCTGCAAGCAGGATGTACATGTGAATCACATAGTGAGTGAAGCCATCATGCTTCTCTTCCCCATCAGGTTAGAAAGCACCCAACCTTCCTCGAAAGCACCGAGGGGCATAGTTAAAAGCTGACAAACAGTCTTGCCTGATGTTCCCTCTTTCAAAATAAACTAACCTTTAATAATTTATGTAACAATGATGCTTTTTCTGCCACCCTTTGATCAGATGCTTTAGAGAGAATTTTCAACTCAGTAGCTAGCTCGATCTTGTCTTTGATGGAGAGTTGGATTTTGTTGGATCCAAAATATATCGAACGACTCAACAGACCAATCCTGAAAGCTGGTATTTAGCCAGTACTCTGCAAATCAGAAGTTATAAAGCAGTCTAGGATATTTTGCATGCTATAATCGACATAAAATGGGATAACTCACCTTTATAATAAAGATTTGGCAGAATGAGAATCATATCCTGTGTAGTGTTAGGCTCTGAAATTTCGTTATAATAAAGGTATGTCAATTTTTTTATTGCTAGTATGATACTGCGCAGTGATGTCATGTACTTAATAAAGTTATCAATTTGTCCAATCACATTATTATTGCTGAATAACTCTGATATCATTACCTATGACAGTTGTTGTATTACCATGAGTTACTGTAGTCCATAGTAATGAGATAATACTCTATCTTTGAGACTAATCTAAGAAAGAGTGTATAAAGTATTACATGATGCCAAGAGAAGTGTGCAATACTGAAACCTCATCAGGTTATGCTTCCCTGAATCTTAGTAGACATGTAATCAACATGTATAATTGTTAGTTACACAGGTCCATAATGAAGCAACCCCCCATGTTAGCCCATTGTGTTCACAGATCACATTGCATTGTCATTTACGTAGAATTAGTTGTTATGTCTGCGTCGTGTTCGAGCCATTACAATTTGTAATGACAAGAGATACAGAAGTATCCTCTCCGTGAATTATATTTGCCTCATCCAACTTTGGGTGACAGATGTTTGTGGACCTGCATCGTTATTCAAGTACAATGAGATCGCGTTGGCTTCCTCAGCAACAATAGATTCATGTTTGCATCATTGTTCAGCCCGGAGTTTTGCATTACATCGTTTATCATGTTTGAATCTAAAGCTAACAGAAATCTGAAATATCAACTTCACTGTTGTATAACATATTTTTTTTAAAAAATGACATTCAGTGCAAGTATTTTCTAATATTATGAAAAACATTCTAAGAACGTTCAGCTAACTTGAAAGGGAAACTAGCTAATTCCCCCCGATCATTGTAATACGCATACGGAATCCTAAAATAGTTAAAAAGACCGCCTAGCGACAATACTTCATTCACACTCCAGTCTCGCGCATCGATTTCAATGTTATTGTCATGACCATGAAATCGTTTTGATACAGTGTGATAAAGACCGCCCATGCATTTTTCAGCGTCTTTGTATTGAGTATTATTAAGTAAGCACGTTTGTTTTAAATATGATACAAACGTTGCATCGTGAATCAGATCCATCAAAACATTGTCCGTAGGGTCGCGAAACGAGCTAGGCTTGTTCCATAACCGAATCTATCAAGAGAATAAAAATCTGTAAACCAAATACGATAAAATTTATTGCAAAATGCACAAACAAATATTACCTCTGATCTGATGAACTCTAAAGCACCTCTCATATTACACATTCTTTTTGATCGTAAAAGAAGTTCAGTGCGGGTTTTCATATCATTCTCAAGATTCGTAAGAGTTTTCGATAGTTCCATTTTTTCACGTTCTTTTCTCTCCATTAAATCCATTTTTTCACGTTCTTTTCTCTCCGTTAAATCCTTTTGTTCACGTTCTTTTCTCTCCATTAAATCCATCAGATCCTGTGCTCTTGTCTCCATTAAATCCTTTTGCTCACGTTCTTTTCTCTCCATTAAACCCATCAGATCCTGTGCTCTTGTCTTCATTAAATCCACCGTTACATGCATAATGAAGTTCATCACTTCCGAAGCGACTTCTGAGTCTGGGGGTAATTTGGTAAGGATGGATGAAACGTCATACTTGCGACTAATGAGAGAGGATGATACTCTGTGTTGTGACCACAAGGGATAATAGATCTGCATCTGATAAACAACGTTTCAAGTGTTTGTTCGAATGAAATAGAAAAGCTAGCAATGCCCCACTCCTGTATAAGATGTCTCGTTTACTTACCAGAGGTCTTAGCAATCTTAAGCGTGAAAACATTTTTATCTGAACAAAAATTTGAAGATCGATCAACCGTGTGGCAAATATGTAACTGTGAAAAAAAAATTTTCAGCCAATCATTCGATAACCTACAACTCCCTTATTACTACCCTGACAAAATTATAAGTACGAGACGAAATTTTACCAGTAAAACATATGAAACCCCTTCATTTTCAAAAATCTCTATCGTCTATATGTATCATGTAACCCACAATGATTTTGGTACCGTTTGAAGCTAATTGACTGTATTTTTCGGGGGAAAAAAATGGTGTAAAATTTAAATTAGTTACTGTAATGAAGAAGTAGTTCGATGAAATGACGACAACAAGACTGGATATATCATAATTTTTCTGAAAAATACAATCAATTAGCTTCAAAACAGTACCAAAATCATTGTGGGCTACATAGTACATATGGACAATAGAGATTTTTGAAAATAAAGAGTTTTCATATGTTCTACTAGTAAAATTTCGTCTTGTACTTATAATTTTGTCGGGGTGTGTGTGTACACACTGCATATTTTTCCTTACGAAGTTGAACGACTTCTCATCTTATTTGTGTTTACTCTGCAATAAGACATATTACGTATAATTTTTAGAGCAATCCGTAAATTTTTTATCATATCTAAAAAACAGTTCAATACGTTAAAAACGTGCAGGAATTATATATATTTTACGCGAAGCGCTATTACACTATCTCTATCAAATCTTCGCTATCCCCTTTTATAACATAAAGCGGGAAAACATTATTATAGCAAAAAGATATAAATTGATATCTCTTCTCGAATAGAAATGGCGTCTTCACCAAGTATACAACCTTTGCCTTGTTTGAAAACCTTTGCAACATTTTCTAAGCATAACACTACGAAATATAATTAGTCAGGCTTGGAGCTGAATGACGACGCAACCGCAAAATTAGAGGCGAAGTCTCCTCGCTCTGTGAGTCGTCACTTTCGGTGGCTAACTCTTCGGTTTAATGCCTTGCTGAAAGTTGCGATGTATCAGACGGCAGATTTGCTCCACATACTTTTTTCGTAGTAGCAAAGAAAAAGTAGATTCAGAACATGGAAAGAGGTTTCTCTGCTACACTCAACCAATTTTACAGCTTTATTACTGTATTAAGCAGATAACTCACTTTTTACTTCCCGTTTGTTTTTAACTGATAGCAACAGAGAGTCGTACAGTTCTTATTATGCAAAAGAGACGCGAGTATTGAAAGGTTGATAGCACAGATATTATACAGTATAATGGAATTCACGTGATTAACTGGACCTATAACCAGAAACAATTGCTTTAATATTTAGATCCGTCACAAGAAATCATTTATATAAAGACATCTATTTTTGTCTGAAATCGCTACCGTTATTAGTATCTGAGTCAGTGCCCCGCGCAAAAATGTTTGATTCCGATTAGCTGAAACAGTTTAAGCCGATGAACGCGCTATACATGTAGGCAGGAAGAAATGAAGCATAATTAGTAACCCTGGTCAATAAGGAGGTTCGAGAACAACTCTAAAGATATTCTTATAAGAAAAGAGAAAGAGCGAAGAATATATACGAGCTTATGGATTATGTTACTATCACTTGTACTGAATAATATCACGTGATCTGACCTCTGGGACAGGAATTTCGATCACATGTACTGAGGTCATGGAACATTTAGTCGTCCTTTTTTTTCGTGTTTGATAAAAATAAATCGGATTCTCATGATTGGGGGGGCCTCTTAAACTTTCTAACTTTCCGCGGGAAAGAAAAAATAATGGGATTTTTTTTGTTCATGATTTCTATTTGCTCTTCGCTGTTGGCTTGACAATGAACGCGTCTAATATATAATACCATTATTTTACCTTTTGGGCCATTATCTATATTTATACGTTTTGAATTTCAAACATTTTACTTAGTTACATAAAGATATCTTAAACAAAACTTTTGAAGCTGTCTTATGATCGAAATTCGGAAATTGTAGAATGAGTTTACACGACTATATTTCACTCAACGTTTATGAAAATTAGAACATTGTTTCTTGTTCATTTAGTAAAGGAAAAATTTAACATGTAAAATTATCGACTTTTCGATGATCTGTAAGTGTCTACCCGGGCACTGCTTTGATTTAACATAAAAGGTATTTTTTTTGTGTGTTATTTATTTTGACGCCAAATATCTGTATTGATAATACAGCATTAATCATTAACTTGTGCAAATAATTTTCTTGGTCATCCAATCATTTCTTGAGGTTGTTTGATATTTCTTTTTTTTGGAGTCTTCTGCGAGACCGGAAAGTCATAATCATCATTTTCTTGTCTATGTATAGCCCTTTTCTTTAAGCGCTTCTTTAAAGCTTCATTGCTAATAGGAGTTTCATTACTCGAATTACGTAAATATTCCAAACTTCGAGTAATTCGTAGCTAGATAAACAATAGACAAGTGTAAGCCATACACGATATAATTAATAATTGGTCTAAAATTATGAACAAGATATATAAATTATTTGGTAGTACTGCAAAGCATCGCCGAGCGATTTTTAATTTAAACATATTTACTATATGTTTGTAGGAAAGAGAAGCGAAGCTTCGAAGCTTTGCCTCTCAGTTTCTACTAGTCATTGGTATAATAATAATTATTCTCACAAAGCTTATAAAACTCTTACTGTCACTATTACAGTTTGTAGAATAACTACGTCCGTCTGAAAATTTTTGACGCGTAGCGCTATTACACTCATGTATAAATCTTCTTCTTCTTTAATCGTTGCAAAATATTTTTATGTATCGATAGAATTAACCAAAGTGCCAAGTTTAGCCGCATTATAAAACTAATCTTGAGCACGTTTCATAAATATGCCACCTGGCCGATAAAGCAATTCAAGTACTACTTTTTGGATTTTTTTTTTAACTGAATTAACGCGTTTTTCCCATAGACGGAATGTTCGCTGCTCGATTTTTTTTATGCATATATACAAAATGTGACACTTTCATTCTAAATGCAAGGGATTTAGAGTCAAGCCCCCCTCGGGAGCCTATATATTTATTTCTGATTAGTATTAGATTGTTACAAATATCATATCCAGTTATTAATAAACGTCTACGTATATATTTGGGTGGATGAACCGTAACTACGATTCTGGTGTTTATGTTTTCAAATTTTGAATATACTGCAAACCATATTCAGTTAATTGGTTTCGGGTGTATTTGTGTCCTGAAATATGATGATGGTTCGAATTGGGCAGTGCAGAAGAATGAACCACGTGCAAACTGAGAAATTCGATTTTATAAGACATTATCGCTTTACTGATACCAGTTACAGCTAATTACAACTGACTCTTGTCAGAGGATGTTTTTTGAAATTCGCGTACGTTATATAGACAGATTTCTGAAGTCTTACGAAATGCAAGCAATAAATTTTAGGCGGGGGTTAAGTTCAAGTTGATCATGAGTTATTGTGGGTAATTACATCAACATGCTTGTATACTATCAATCTGATTGGATAATCATGAGAAGAAAGTGTACCTTTCTATTCTTGGTAAGAAGTTAAAGTATTTCGGAAGTTCCTATTACACAGGCGAACTCGATAAGTCGGTCATGCATGATGGACCGACTTATCGAGAGAACCGACTTATCGAGAGTTTGTAAATATTAAAACTGAGAAAAGGGCTTGGGAAGTTTTGGCCTTCTTAGGCCAAAATTGAATCATCGAGAGACCGACTTATCGAGTTTGCCTGTGTATTATTATTACAATTCCTGCTTTGAGGCAGGATGTCTACGTGACCGATAATATTGTGATTTGGAGGCTTAGTATCACCGCCGATAACCAAGTTTTATTATGCCAATAAATTGTTCCCCATCCCAAACATAGATACAATATACAGAAAGGAAGAAATTTTAATGTAAGTATTTCATTGGCAATTATTTTTGATGTGATGATGTCACGCAAGTATTTCGCTCTTTCAATTTCTGCGCACTTTGGCGGGCATTCCAACGTCCATTACTCTCGGTTCTCACGCTTCCTTTTGCTTCGACTCTCCCCAGCCTGCACATATTCAACGGTCCGAATGACCAACACAGACATCGCCGAAGTTATTGCTACCATAGACAAACACCTCGAAAACCATTATGGCTTCGACGCGAAAGAACTCGTAATGAAACATCCACCCCGATGGACGTGTCGTAATAAGAAATTAGTTTACAACTTATCATGTCCGGATGCGCATGATTCTTTTCGAGGTCGACTAGAATATTCGCGCTGGAGACAGTTTAAACTTCCGAAACAGGTAGACAAACGAGAAATGGAGATTGAAATAAGAGATGACATGTTTGATTATGTTCCGCCCGAGGATGATAATACTGTTGTGTGGTATTTAAATTTTGCTGATTGGTAAGTAAATTCTATAACGTTGGAATGAGACTTGCCTGCGGACTCCCTGCTGAAGAGAATAAGAATCGATTATGTGGTTGATTATTAATTTTGTTCATTTTCCGCTTTCCCCTTTTATCCATAGTCATGTCTTTGGGTATTACTCTGGCCGTCTTTTAGCCCAAGACGAGCTCCAATGCCTCGAACATCCAGCTCTCTGCTCACTCCGCGAATCTCTCAGCAGCACTCCCTTCACGTCTGCAACCCTTACAACGATCCACACAACCGATGGATTAACTCTCGCAACACCGATCTTGATCAGAGGAGTACAACGACGTTGTCGAATCAAAACCGACCGTAATGATGCTGAGGGTCGGCATGGCGGATTATATGGAAACCAGTTTGCCATCGCAAAGCCCGAGGTCGTAACTAGGGCTACCGAATTGTTTGATAAGAGAATGGGAAACGATGAGAATGAATATTTTAGCAATATTATCGCAATGGAAGCGCCAAAATATGGAAGTGGGAATTATGGATATGGGACTATCAAGAAGGTTTTGTCGACAGCATATACGGGATTCCTTGCTGCACGATATGAGAGTTTGGTCGAGAAAGGTGTGTTGCTTAGATCACATGATCCTAGTAAGCAACATACTACTCATAATCCCGATGCTGCTGCTTTTCCAAAAGTCATCATTCACACGGGTAATTGGGGTTGTGGTGCTTTTGGTGGATCTATTCCTATAATGGCCACGTTACAGTTCTTTGCTGCGTTAGTGGCCGGAGTGGACAAGGTTGTCTATCATTCAGCAGGTGCTCCAAGCAAAAAACAGGCGATGTATGGATTGGATGTGTACACAAAGTATTTAGATAGTTGTGAGGAGACGGTGGATATCGACAAGCTTGCAGCGGCTGTAGAGAAGATGAAATTCCAATGGGGGTTCAGCAATGGGACTTGAGTAAACCTGTATCATGTGAATACGATTTAATAGATGTTTTGAATAATAAATTATTTGTACGTATAATGTACTATTAATAAATTATTTTTAGTAGCGAATGCAATTTTTCTTTGGTTATACTTTGTGTGGGCAGATGGGAATGGTACGCAACAGTATGTCAAGAAGCAAAATAACGTCCAAAGACGTTGGGCATAAACAGGATTCACATATTAAACGCTCCAAGCACAGCACTAAGTATGCGGATATGTGATGATTACGAACAGGTCTAATACTTTAAAAACGTCCAATTTGTTTTTCCAAGGTCATTCTCTATCGTGCCCTATGGTTTTTGGAGGGCGGAAGGACCAATCGCTTGCATGGTGCAATTGAACGCAGGATCCAGCGCACAAAGAAGCTGATTGCTTTGTCTGCGAATGAACTACATCAGTCAGTCAAGATTTTGTTTTTTGTTTTCGTTCTGCACGCTCATTTTGGTTTGTTGCAGCGCATGCATGCTGAAATCCCAGCTACGTCATGATTGTAAACGAATTGAAAATCTATGCAGTCTTTATAGGAACGCGTGGAAAAAGTTACCTTCGATCATTGAAGACAGTACTCAATTCACGTTTACACTCTAGCTCAAGTTATGGATAAACTATTATTAATATATTATTGCCAAACCCCTTTCACCCACGATTTTTGATCTTTAAGTGGTCAAGTACAGATGTTTTACATTTGTAACCTTTTTGATCTAAATTGTCCGTATCGGAAGAAAGAAACTTATTTAAGAAGAGAGAAAAAATAGGAATGTATGTATTATTAAAGGCCTTAATAGTAGGATGTAATTGTAATACAAGACGGCCATGATGAAGTCTTCAACTTAATATTCTTGATATCCATTGTTGTAGTCACCACGTCCGTCCTGTCTAGGATACTCTTCTTCAACGTCTCTCACTTCCCAGACATGCTGTTTGTTCCCAACGCTGAATTCCAAGTCCTCCTTTGTAATAGAATCCCAGTATTTGTATACCATCATCACTGCCAAAAGAGTTCCAATGGTTCCGAAAAACAGGCCATCTATGTAATGCTTAGCATGATCACATATTTTAACAGAGAATGCATATAGAGACGCCTGACCGACTGAATAGAATGCAGCTCCAAACGCGATATCACCAAGTGGCCAGCGATCATCAAGAGTATTGAGAACCAAAAATATCTGAAGACAAATGTATAATGCAATTGCACCACCGTTGAATACGTATAGCACAATCCAGAGCAGAGCCGGATGCAAGGGGTTGAATGGTCCTATGCCTCGGAATGTGGCAACAGACAAGCCAGTGACACAGATGAATACAAACAAGGAAGAGAGGCGGATTATCTACATACGAAAAAAAAAAAAAAGATATCGATTAATTAACTCGGTAGGATAAGACTATAAAAGATGATACAATACGATGTAATGAACACAGATTTAATGTGGTAGCGCATTGCATATGGTCTTGACGCGTCTTTTCGTATTTTGTTTGGTACATACCCAGAGTGATGTTGCGGTTCCATCCTCGAAAAATTGATATCCAATGAATCCATTGAGAAGCAAACACCAGACAGCTGATGTAATCAAGCCGGTATGAATTCCAGTCAAGTACTAAAGAATACAAAAGTGTATAGTGAGTTTATGAAATGTACACGTTGGGGTGAAACGATATTCGACTGTCTTGGGACGCATTGCGTAGAGCACGTTATTGCAGAAACTTACTATGTATGCATTTGATGCAAGTGGGACGATTCCAGAGACAAGTAGCATCTCAACTACTGTTAGTAGCATATACAAGTAAAAGAACATGACCATCTCCCTACGACCTTTACATTACAAGAACATGAGAATTTGAGTCAAACGAAGAATTCCATCGAAAAATGCATTGAGAGGACGATACTGTATAATTAAAACACAACTAACCAACGGCAGTGTACTTTGACCTGATATGATATATCATAAGTGTCGTCATCAACAATGCCACAACATGGATGATAATCGTTGCTGTTTAAAAAACGAGTCAATTATTCAGTAAAATTTATGTGAAATCGCAAAGTTTGTCGTTAGTTATTTCTTGCAAGAGGGTAGTTGGTTTATCAGCTTTACCTGGTTGAAAAATCAAGGTTCCTTGGAGTTCAATACTCCTTGAATAACATGCCGGTTCTAGACCCAACGAAGTCCCAACAAGCGGACATACCGTTAATGCGACAGTCTTGCAGATTCTATTAAAGTCTCCGAATTGTGCCATCTATTGCGTTCGTATAATATATATATACTTCTATATTTGCGTTTATTTACAGGAATGGATGACCGGAAAGAACACAATTGTAACAGTACGAGAAGATGAGAAACGAGGAAGAAGGGTTGTTGTGTTTATGATTTTGCTTGGATTGTTTTACCCTACTATCACCAATTAATATGAAAAAGTTAAAGGAAAGGAGGGAAGGAATGTGTGGTGATTGTAGGAAACGAAAACAAGGTTGAGAGAGTATGGCTAATGAAAGAACACGGATTCTCAATTAAGTATCCCATCATACTGTTCTACAAGCCTACGAAAGGTTGTATGTTATGTATATGTATTACTTGCATATTAATATTATCCAAATAAAGCAACTACACGTGATTATCTACATGAACGATTTACACGAATCGTACAGTTAGTTTTTTTTTTGCAATCATGCCAGCAGCTCACATTGGGAAGTCGTTTGGTATCTTATTGATTTCATTCTTTCTATCAAGCTACTTTTTCACCGAGTCATGGACTTGGGGTTATCAAAATAAATGGACGAATTGGAGAACCTACATTCCTGTAAGTGTTTTTCAATTATGGTTCTGTTACATGATGTGATGTGAAAATTTTATTCTCTGCCTTTTTACTTTCAGACTCGTCAGGTTACGTTCACGGTCGACGAATTAGCAAAATATGATGGATCTGATCCTAATCTACCCATATATATCGCTCTCTTGTAAGTGGATTTGGGATGCTGTGTTTGACCTTGTAACAGGCTTGATAACTTGTAGTCTTTCCAAATAGTGGTGAGGTGTTTGACGTATCAAATGGTGCGGCTTACTATGGCAAGGTATGTATATAACACGGTCACTGTTCTTGTCCATTTGCACCAGTAAAAATAACAAAAGTAACCGATAACCCCGCTCTAAATCGGGCAAAAAGAAAGTAAAGCAAGTTGTAAAAGCAAGGTGGCAGGTTTATCCCGTTGTTGGAAAAAACGTTCAAACAGGGTTACCGCATTATAAACATTTTTGTGTTAATCACTGTACAGTATCTCCCTCTGCAACAGTATATTCGCTTATGAATTGTATTCGTTTGGAAAAAAAATGGTTGAGCTTTCTAACAAGGGATAAATCAGCTAAACACATGTCCCATCATCAAAGACTCGATGTTGGGACAACTTGCGACTTTCGCTCTAGGAATTCGTAATGCGCTTGTGGTGTCGGTTACTTTTGTCCCCTTTTTTCCCTCCGATAATGCTTCTGGATTTTCCAGAACGGGAGAATATTCTCACTACTGACTTGCCATTTAGGGTTCAGGATATAATGCATTTGCTGGCCGTGATGCTACAAGAGCCTATGTAACTGGTTGTTTCAACACGCATCTAACTCATGATCTCAGAGGCTTGACGAAGGAAGAATTAAAAGTAGGTGATTGTAATTTTGACGAGCAACTTGCGTGAAACCTTTTATTTATCTATATTTCGATAATATCTTAGTCGTTGAGAGGATGGTTAGAATTCTATCAGAACCACCATAGTTACCATAAAGTTGGTAATGTCGTGCTCCCTCCTATAGATCCAGATACTCCAATTCCAGAACCATGCAATGACAGCGTAGGGCAGAAGAACTAGTGTTTTTGATTTTCCTATCGTTTGAACATCATCAAAGGACAGAAACAAACCTCGATTTAATTTATTAATGTTACTTTGTGCAAATAAAGGCAGGCAAACTCAAGAAACAGCAAAATATTATTTTATTGTAATGCATCAGGTTCAATCGTAGTGCCTCTTTTAATTTTACCCCAACCAATTAACCTAGTATAAGAAAATAGTAAAAAGAAGCGCGTGAGTTACGTGTATCTGAATTGTTGTCAACTTGCACAATATGACAGGTAAATTGCTTACCGCCAATGCTTATCGATTCTTCTGGATAGAGCTATTTTTTCATCAATTTCAGTACATGCAGGACTCGTCAGCAGAATCTTTGCCAAGTCAGCCTTCACACCGACTACGCGTCCACCCGTCGAAGTAGATCCAATGTTCACCATTAACACTTCGTTTTTTTCGAGTTTCGTTACCTGTGACGTTGCCAAAATGTCAGAATAACATATTTCTCACGGAAGCTGTACAGAATATACAAACACACATTATTGCAATTACCTTTGTTTGTTTTTTATCGTCCGTCTTGACACCCAATAGCCTTCGAAGTAGGAAATAGTTTATCTCTAATTCTGTGTAAATTTTGGGTAGTTTACCAACTGCACCGAGCACTTGACCGACCAAACGATCCGCTCGACACAAGGTCGGGTCAATTTTTGTGCCAACACCTAGTCAACGATGAAATTGGGTTATTCACTAGAATCGAAAAGAAATTCCATCACACTAATAAAATAGTGTCTAAAAAAAATTACCAATTAATCCCCCGGGCACAGCAAATTTCAAGTCATTATGCTCTGCGAGCAAAGACACGATACGGGAGAATATAGGCCGACAGTGAATCTGTCCATCATTGTCTTTCTTTAGAATTCCTGGTCTTACTTCGATCTCGTCGCCAATCTTGATGATGATAAGCAGTATAATTAAGTATTTGTCGTTGTAAAACAAAACCATCTCTTTGTGCAAAAGTGTTACCTTTAATACACCTCTTAATATCGAGCCTCCCGCCACTCCGCCTTTCAAGTCGTCTACCTCAGCACCAGGCTTATTTACATCAAACGAACGAATTACAATCAAGCGGGGGTCTGAAGAGAAATCTCTTACTGGGATCGGAATTCTTTTTACGATATATTCGTTAATAACATCTATATTGTATTTCAATTGCGCAGAGATAGGAATTATTGGGGCTCCATTGGCAACAGTCCCTAACAAAATAAATATTGAATTAACACACAGTCTTGGTACGAGTTGTTGTAAAATTATCCAATAGCAAAAAAAACAAACAAAACAAAACCGTTTTAAACTAACCTTTCACAAACGATAATATACTCTGATAGTGTTCTTGGCAAGCAGCCTCTCTGCACAGATCAACTTTGTTTTGCAAAATAATAATATGTTTCAACTTCATAATCTCAATGGCAGCCAAGTGTTCGCTCGTTTGTGGTTGTGGACAAGTTTCGTTCCCCGCAATCAACAAAAGGGCCGCGTCCATCACTGCTGCTCCGTTTAACATGGTAGCCATCAGAATATCGTGACCGGGACAATCGACAAACGAGACATGTCTAGGAAGTAAAAGAATTTAACGCATTAGTCAAATAAAAGCTGCATTGATTCATTGTATCGTTCCGTTTGTTTGCTTTTTATAATGCGATCTATGACTTGGATAGTTACAGAGAAATAATAATCGACACGTAAACATATTAATCGTCTATCCTCGTCATATAAAGAAGCGTGATCAAACCTTAACAGTTTCATTCTCCCATCACATCCAGGTCGCTCACACAGCGGGTTATCTTCCTTATCACTTCTATACGATTTGTAACACCCAGGTCTTGGACACGCTTCGTCCTCACATTTATAAATCTAAATACAAGCGCCAGTCTAATTGAATCATCCCCTTATACAAGTATATTATACCATCCCGTTTAAAAGATCATACCTTTGCGTTAGCATATCCTAATTTGATCGTAATGTTTCTTTCTAATTCGTTTTTAAATCGGACTGTCTATCTCAATCGAATAACGAAATATCAATCGTGAATTTATTACACTGCAAAAGAAATTGAGAGTCGGGACTAAATGTTTAAAAAAACACACACCTGTACACCCGATATGGCCTTCACAACCGTGGATTTACCATGAGCCACATGACCAATGGTACCTATAATGAAGAATTAGCACAAGATATGTCTGTTATTTTCTTGCGCACTCGAACATCAACGCGTGCGTTAAAAATGCTCACCGATATTGATTGTAGCCTGACGAGAAATCACTTCGGGAGAAAGTGGATGCAAAGTCGCCGGATCAGTGGCTGCTGCTGTCGCTTCTGACCCAGGGCCAGCCGTAGTTGTTTCGGCCTTTTCCTCAGCGTTGCCTTCCGCTACCATATTTTTATAATTACTATTTCAAAAAGTAGCGAAACGGCTCGTTGAAAAAAATAAGTTTTTTATGACTCATTCTTGTAATTCAATTCTGATTCGCTAATGCCAGACGTTGAGTTTGTATTACGTTTTTACTAACCGGTATGTAAAAGTACGGTGTCACAAACGTAATGTTTATTTAATATTAATATTAATATTATAATTAAGAGTTTTTTAAATTAAAAGATTATCACTAGTTATAATCAAGTATTTCATGGGAATAATTCCAATTTGTCGAAGAGTTATTAAGTTATTACAAGTCTTTTCTACGGAATTTGTTGAAAACCACATTGCGGTAGAAACCGCAAATCAGCTTAATTCTGAACATAATAATAAGGAAGATTATGCAGTGTACGTAATTCGCGCTTTTCCTTTTTAGGCCTGCCGCAGTTCGAACAAAGTCAGAATTCCTACGTTCATTCAATTGTGGATATTTAGTATGCACTGTGCTGTTAACCATATCCAATGAAAGTACTTTGCCGCCTCAATTCCCATCTTTGGCCCTTTAAAATGCAAATAAACTCTATTTCCTTGAGGTAAATTTGAAATTTTGTAAGAATAGTTGGTTTTGTGATCTTGCAATTGGAAACATTAGAGGGTTTTCGTTCTTACTGCGCACATTTCGCCCGCGAGATCGATGGACTATAGAATTACCAACCAAACTTCTTTGACGCATTCTACGAGGTCGAGCGGAGCGTCTATTGTTCAAGAATTGAACAAAGCTAAAATACCTATAATTCAAACCAACCCGCCTGTTTATCAGCTATCAACAAGGTCCTCAGGTAAAAAAAAAAGGTCTTGCGCGCATATGTAGGTCAATTAATTTGATCATTCAGCAATGGTTTGTATTTTGCTTTATTATAGTTGCGGCCTGCTTTAAAATATTATGTCAGAATCCATCTTGGCCAACCAAGTATGTTGGATTTGATACCGAGACAACTGTCAGGAGAGCCATCCATCGCGGCTTGGTATCACTGATACAAATTGCAACGCGCGAATTCTGCCTCATATTTCAAGTCTACAGAATCACTCGAGGGGATGCTAAAAAGTTTCCTAGAAGCCTAATGGATTTCCTGGCAGACTCTCGTGTCCTAAAGGTCGGAGTGAATGCTCGAGGAGATGCAGAATGGCTAAAAAGATCATACGGCATTGAAACAAGTGGAATTGTTGACCTTGACCAAATGGCAACGGACAAGGGAATAACTGCAACCTCTCTCGCAGAGCTGGCACTCATGTTTGCTGACGATGGATTCGGATTGGACAAAACAAAAGATCTATTAAAGTGGAATTTTGATGCAGCTCACCTGAACGCAGAACTCGTAAAATATGCTTCGGCTGATGCATTTGCTGCAATACAAATATACGAGAATATGCTCATTGGCAAACGGAATTCTCAATACAAGTCTTGGGAAGAACGGAATCCTATGACGCGAGAAGAAGAAGAGGCTGAATTATATAATACAATCAAGAGGCAACATAAGAAAGGGACGGTAAGGCGTTCATGTTTGCTTGTCGTTTTGATTTACTCTTATCGCATGTCGATCGCCAGATAGCTAACTGATCAAGCTCTGTGTTCGAATTCGCAATATTTTTTTTAGGTGGTCAAAATAGAAAAGCTAATCAACGCTGTAACGTATGGACGTTGGCAAAAAACAAAACCTGATCCCTTGGATCGTAGACGGGCGACAATTGCAGCTGTTAACCATTATATATCCGATGGCCGATTTGTTCTTGAAGACTTTGATGTCTCGGCAGGTCCTGTCGCTTCACTTAGCGAAGAGCAACTCGTTAATCTTTCTGTCAAACTCCCAGGAGTTGCATTGGACAAGCTATTATTAGATGTTCCTGATGTAGACGGATTTTTCGGTAGAAAGGGACTCGACCATGAAGGTTGCAACTTTATCAAAAAGTGCTCTCCGTCATTACACAAGTCCTTTCGTAACAAGGCTTTGATACAGTTATATAAAAACTCAGTGTCTTCTGAAACGGGCGAGCATCAGATTATGGATGTTATTAACAAACTGAAGCGATGCAAGGCACTAAGACCAGTTGGTGATAGTGGCTCGTTCGAGTTCAATTCCGAGTGGTTGGAAGAATTAGAGGTGCTCGCACGCAAGGAAGAACAATAAGCCTGATGTTTGGATAGAATTTTTATTTGTGAGTTTGCAGATGTTAGGAACATTGAGGGACTATTTTGAGTTTGGTTAACGGGTAACAATGAGGACAGGAATTGATCTAAATGTTTAGAAGTCAATTGAACACTAGACAGCCAATGCTGGAACCAACCATAGGTACCAGATAAAAGATTTGTTTATAAAGTTAATCTAATAAAAATCTTGGCAAAAAGTTTAATTGAATTGAAAGTAACCACCCTCTTTTTGTTGATGAAGTCATATAAATGATTGTAACGGTCTTTTGCAAATTATCCGTTAATAGACTAAATGGCTATGTTGGTATAATTCTATTATCTAGGTGCCACAACTGTTTGCGGACTACAATTAATGTAAAACAGGAATAGATGCATGCTAATAGTCATTACGCCTCAAGTTATTTGCGA